TATCTACTAACACGCATCTTTAAAAAATAACACCAAGGATATGAATTGAATAACATAACTGACTTACGTCACACTTTGATCATCACTAGACTATGAGAATAAGATAAAAAAATCCTGGACAGGCTCCCCTTCTATCTGGCTGAATTCGTTGGATATAACCCATGCATATTAGGCACCTTAATGTCTACCGTCGAATCTTAATGAGTTTGCATGTAGTTTTTTGTTCAGTTTAATGAGCTGGTATAGTCGTACAGCGAAAAAATAAAATTAAAATAAGTTGTAAACAATTGAAAATCAAAAAGCGCGCACAGTTAATAGATAAGCATTCTATACTATAATTAAATGCATTCACTGAAAATATATCAGAAATTCACTCAGTGCTAGTACTGCTGGATTTGATATACGAGGACGGTCCAATAAGTACCCGTGTTAAAAATGAAGACACCATTTTTTCCAAAAAAATTCTTTTTATTTTTCAACATGATCCCCTTTTAGAAAAATATACTTTTCCCAGAGTTCCTGCCATTTTTTAACACCCCTTTAATTTAATTTTTAACCGCTAGAAAAGTTTTCTGGTAATTATTATGAGCCTCTGAAATGTCAAAAAACGAAATTCGGGGGATTTTTCCGCTTCTTGCTCCGCCGCCACTGGATCGATTTTCAAAACCTCCTTGACATAGTAGTAACCTTGTGTAAAAATTTTAACAACATGGTTTTTCTTGACGTAGATGTCACATAACATCTAAAAAAAACGCAATATCTAAGTAAAATACGGTACTTCCTCACCGGTGACGTGGGAAGTAAAATTGAATCAACGTCTAGACGTAGAAATTTTAGCCGAATGCCTGAAGTTGTATTTAGAACTTACCGCATTCGCATTCGACAACGCAAAATCAATAATAATGTCTTGTTGGCAGAGCGGCCCACCAGAGCCTGTGTCCCTCAAGGTTTGGTTCTCGGACCAATATTGTATTCACTTTTCACTCATGCCATTCCTTGCCCCAGCGACTGTGAAGTTCATCTGTATGCTGATGACACAGCACTGGTGACCCAGTCGAATTCAGGAAATCCGGTTCACAACAGGTTGCGAGGTGCTGTGGATGAGATATTAGAATGGGCGGATCGGTGGCTAATCAAAACTAATTACTCAAAAACGCAGGGTATCTATTGTAGAAAAAAAAGTAGCGGCGCGCTTTCTGAGGTTTCAGAAAATAGAGTTCGTAAACCATGGGAAATTCTGTCAAGTATCCTGGCGTTACACTTGACGAGGGAATGAGTTGGCAGAAGCGTCAAAACCAAATTCTAAATTATGTTTGGGCAAGTTCACCCTATGCTACGTATTAGGTTTGATCAACGAAGTTCAGCTACACAAGGTGATTATTAGACCAACAATCACTTATGCATGTGTAGCCAGGTGTTTCCTCGCCAAAACGCATATTCGTAGTCTGCAACTTCTGCAGGACAGAGCCTTACATACTATCACTAACGCCCCATCTCCAACGAATCCCTTCACAGAGACCTCGACATTCCTTATCTAAGATACATACAACAACAGACGCAGTTACGTTATAGTCAAGCGGAATCGCACAGCAACCCTCTGTTACGTAAGTCAGTAAACCACACAGTCGAGCAAGTTGTCAAGCACACAAGACTGCGGCACGGGTAACAGGTATCTTGAAAAGTGACATTATGCCGATTTTTTTTTGACATTATGCTGTTTTTTTTTGAGATTATGTAGGTTTTTCTACAAGAGGTTAACTTAGCACTAAGTTGTACGTGTTGCCTAAACGTCATGAGGCTTGTTATCAATCTTTGGCTCTGATGTGATGTAAAATCTGCTTCTGAGATGGCATTACTGGAGGTGTAAGCTGTAAGTTGTATGTGCTGATGATAATTACAGTGGGTTCTTGTCTGAAATACACTTAATTGAGATTCAAAGCTAGAAATTAGTTGTGCATGGGAATTACATATACAAATTTGCTGTATTTAAAAAATGAGGGACAAAATAAATAATTATATTCACTGTACACTGTCGAATTACACGTCATATAAATGCTAACAGTAATTACACATATCACTGGTTTTATACACATTCAGACCAATACACATAATCATCCAGATGCGATCTTGCTATTCAACCAACTTTGTTCTCAGAGATAAAAACTACAGACAAGGACCATATGGCCTCACAAAACATATGCAACCAATAATGCGTGTAGTTTAGTTGAGTGATTCCTCCTTAGATGGACGTTCACAACGATCCTGGTGGGCAAACGTGGAATGACTGTTTGCTCCCTAAAAATTACCGAGATTGCAAAATGACATAGGTTTTCTTTACGTTTTATAGGTTTTTTACATAATACCCATGCGGCTCCCATGGTGAACAAAATTAAAACGTGCAATTCTAGGCCCAACCAAAATTACATTTTTTTCACACATACAAATTTCTAAATTATTTTTAGATAAATTTAAAAGTACTGAGTACTAGTGAACAATGCCAAGATACCCCTCTAACAAACACACTTCCTTCTCCTTGTTCTTACCCCTTCCTTCCTACTTTCTCACTGACAGTCTGGCATCTGGGCAACCAGACCTGACAGACCTACCTAACAGACAATGATGAATAGAAGAATAGAAAGTGACATTTTGCATGGAAATGGATATATATAAAGCATAGCTTTAAACAACACCTGAGAACTGCATGGACCATTTTTAATCTCTGGACGGTTTCAGTCAACTTTGGCCCCGCTGGGCTGGTTCAAATAGTAACTAAAGGAACACTAGCTCCTGAGGAGAAGAAAGTGGTAATACCTTCCGGCAAACACAAGCCAATTTCATTAGCCGTTAATTTTATGCGATATGAAACCAGTGTGCGTCTAAGAATCTATGCGTGTGCGGCTCGAAAAAGATCTGAAAATGCCATCTGATGGAGCCCCAGTAGTAGACCCATAGGATTTTGTAGGGGATAGCTATCTAGATTATGATAGATAGAGCCCCTGTTTCTGGGAAGGTAGGGATGAAATACAGGCAGGTAGCCTCAGAAGTCCGCGGAAGGTGGTACTACGTCTAAGAACCCTATCGAAAAATACATTGCTGGTGGTGGCTGGTCTCCCGCCAATTAACATGCTGGCAGAAGTGGGACGCTATATCCAGAGGGTGTGGTGGCTAGAGACGATGAAAGGAAGACGCGGTTTGCATGATGGTAAGAGAAGTGAGATGTAACTGGTCATGGTGCATGAGCTAGAAGGTTCATTCCAGATATTAACATCTGGATTCACAAAACAGCGGTGCGGATAGATTACTACACTGCATAGCTTCTCACAAGACATGCTTGTTAATACAGCTGACTAAAAAGTGTAGGAGATAAGGATTTGATTCCAGAAGACGGGTTCAAACAGGCACTACTGAAACACTATGTGAAAATACTTGTCCATACAATACTTTGCCGCACCCATGAAATTTCAACTGAAATTTGCCGAATAAGTTACTCCAAAAATAATTAATAAGTGAAGGGTTTGAAATTGGGGATTTTCATCGGGGAAGTTTCCAGCAACTGAGCTTCCAGGAAGTCCGTTATTAAGTTTAACTTGTCAAAGCTCCATTGCGCGCGGACAAATTGAATTTTGAGATCTTTTGTTGGACATACTCGCCGGGGAAGCAAATGCAGATGCAGAATACACGTAGATTTTATGTACAAAAGGCGGAAATTGGAAGTTGACATGGCACAAAGGTGTTCTGCACGCGATCCGATCATTGTTCGGAGCAATCGTCGTTTGTAAACATTGTAATGAATCGACATTTTAGTACGGGTGATAATAATAATAATTTATTAGTCCTGTATGATCACAGATGTGATATAGGATAAGTCAGTCAGCGCACTACAAAAGCTAATAACAAATCATGTTAGTGTGGACGCACACATATTCGTACCACATATGGCATATTCCAAATATGGATACAGATAAATCAAATTAGCGTATTGATAAAATGTATAAATATAAAACATATATGTATATATAAGAAAGCGAAATAAAGGACAAACGATGACATTCAAACAACAATGATCAAAATCAAACAAGACATCCACACATTAAAAATTCCTCAATAGACTAAAAAGCTTTCTCCAGTAAAAACTACTTAACTATTCTTTTAAAAGTGTTCAGTGGTTGTGATGTCAAATTGTTGGGGAGTCTGTTGAGAAACTTAATAGCCATGTGTCTAGGGCTGTCCTCCGTTCTCGCCAATCTATGCGACGGCACCTCCAATACTTGACTGTTCCTTGTAAAGTAAGCGCCAGTGCTTACAGAATTGAACTTGCTCAATTGTGTTTTAGCAAGGATAAGTATATAGAGTAAATATACAGAAGGTAAGCTTAAAATCTTTAATGTTCTAAATGAATCCTTGCAGCTAGTGAGCCTTCCAATTTTAGCTATTACTCGAACAGCCTTTTTTTGCAACACAAAAAGTCTTTGCAGCTGGGACCAGCATCATCCCAGCTTCTATTCCATAAATTAGGACTGAATGGATATGTGCATGGTGAAATATCAGTAATATCAACTTCTCCACAACAAAACTTAACTGGTACAGACAGTAACAGAGTGTGGCGATCTTTTGGCTACTTTTCTCAATATGCATATCCCATCTACAATTTTGGATATATATATCTATATATATATATATATCCCTAAAAATTTAGTCGCATCCACTTGTTCTATTGATTTGCCAAACGATTTTATTAATAAAGTGTGATCCATCGGTGAAATGGAAAGGTTAAATCTAAGGAAAACAGATTTCTGATTATTTTAGACAAGCCCATTATTGCTGAATCACATACCTGCACCAGTCAAGCTTGAACTGACAAGTCCTACCACAGATTCTAGGTTTTTACCATTAACGATTTATTTTCATTTTTGCGAATAAAAGGCGAGAGAAAAAATGCACGTGGACCCGGGCAGGTCGGAGGACGGTCAGTCCTCCACCAGCAATGCAGACTCTACCAGAACTGCACCTAAAATTGGAAAACAAGATAAAAACCCAGCAATGGCAGATGACAGTGGCAACTCTACCATCCAGAAGCTGACGAGTATAATTGAAAAGCAGGCCCACCAGCTGGAGCAGCAGGCCAAGCAGATTGCAGACCAAGCAGACATTATCAAAAGCCTCAATCATAGTATTGACTGTTTGACGGCCCAGGCTATAGTACTGTATACACAGCTAAGTAGTGACAGCCTTAAACGTGGACCTGAAAGTCAGGATTCAAATGACGACGACGCTCTTTCTGATGACAGCGTAGAGTGCTACGGGTTTACGCCAGCCAGACAAAGAAAAAGACGAACAACGGTCAGACGTGGCACAGAAGAATTTCCTCCTTTACCAACTCAATCAGCTCCTACAATAACACATCATTCACAAACAAATACTCATCCACTCATTGCTACTTAGCCCAAAACTACCTCACATATACAGACCCATACAACCTCTGCACCCAGCCGAGGACGACTAGAGAAAGATAATTTGGCATTTCAAAGAAAATATTGCCCATCATACCTTTCCTCTGCCATCGGAAAGCATCAGATATGCTCTCCATCTGATCAGATTAAAACGCAGTGGAGGCGCTCCCATGCCGTTGTCGGTGGTGATACTGCCTAAAATTGGAAATTCACATGAATTATTTAATGAAAAAGAACTGATAAGCCTCTCAAAATAAGGTTGCGGTTCAAAAGAATAATAAACTCATTGGCCAGTGTCGCCGCTGCCAGAGGTATGGGCAGTCTTTACTGTACAGCGCCACCCAAATGTGTAAAATGTGCACAGGACCACTTAACACATTTGTGTCCTCAAACAAGACAGGTGGTACGCAAATGCGCAAACTGCGCGAGGGGGAATTTCACAAGGCCCTTTTAGATGAATCTATAGAGTGGTGTTGCAGCGGGAAACATTTTTAAAACCCGTCTGTCCAACAAGCACTACAGCAGGCAGCAGTACTTCCTGTGCAGCGGCCTGGCAGACCTTTCCTCCCTGTGGACATCCGTCAGAAAATTTCTGACAAAAGAGCAGCAATTAAGCAGGCAAAAATGTCTTGTCATCCTGATGGCATCCGTAAAGCTACGCATCTTGTTTACGAAGTAAGAAACGTACTTCGCGAATTCTGAAACGAGCAATGGAACGACTTTCGTTTAGGAATGCTTGACAACGCTACTCCTCTTTGGAAAGTAGCGAAGTTGCTCAAAAATGGCAAACGGCGTAGTCATCAGGACTGAGGATAAGGCGAGAGTTTTTGCTGATGTAATGAAAAAACAGTTCTCGCCAAATTGTGATCTTGATAACGATCTCGACGAGGAATGAGACATTGACAAGATCTGTTAGGAGCTATTTTGCGGTTAATGACGCCAGCAGCAGCAATGCTAGAGCTGGTAGATCATTTTCGGAAAACTACCCTTCGGAAGATTCCATTTCGGAAAATTCTTCAACAGAAGCTCTGCACAGCAGACCCACAGAGTCATCATCAGTGATTCCGTATTGCACACCAGCCGGGCTTCAAGGTCATATTAATGATCTGAAGGTGCGCAAGGCACCTACAAGGTCGTCAAAGGCAGTGACATACCTGGTAACAATAAACACCGCAATGTTCAGACTCCAATACTTCCCAAGTGCGTGGAAGATCGTTGATGTCATCATGATCACAAAGAAGGCAGGTTCAATATTTCCGTAGGGTTATCGCCCCATTAGCCTGCTGTTAGCTCCTTCTAAGCTCGCCGAAAAGGTGATTTACGGTCACCCTGAGCATTTTTCGTCAGGTCTCCAAGTGGTTCCTGACATTCAATTCGGTTTTCGGTCCGAACATAGTACGGAGCTACAGGCAGTCAGGCTGGTGGAGCGTATAACCAGCGGATTCGCCCACGACAAGAGCACGGGAATCTTTTTCTGGATGTCACGAAAGCCTTTGACAAGGTGTGGCACGCAGGCCTCCTCTATAGACTTATTCAAAACGGTTTCCCTTTTTGGCTATTGAGACTACTTAAATCCTTCCCAAAAGGAAGAACATTCAGAATCAAAATGTATTTTCTACAACACGGCACATTCGGACCGGAGTTCCGCAGGGATCGCGGTCTTAGGACCGCTCTTATACTCGATTTTCATTCACGACATCCCCCATCCTAACGACTATGAAGTCTACCTCTATGCCGACGACACCGCATTAGTAGCCTAGTCATGTTCTAGTGACATAGTCCATGACAAGCTGCTAGAAGCGGTGGACGAGGCTTTAGAGTGGGCGAATCGGTGGCTAATCAAAATTAATTTTTCAAAGACACAGGCTATCTATTTTACAAAAAAGCGCCGTGATGCCCCGTCAGAGATGACTGTGGATGATGTTCCATGGGCTAACAAAGCCAAATATTTAGGTCTTACACTCGACAAGGGTATGACTTGGCAGTCACACATTGAACAACTGAAAATTAAATTCCAAATTACATTTCGGCAATTGTATCCTCTTTTATGTAGAACATCAAAATTGAGTTTGGTCAATAAGATTCGGATATACAAAACCATCATAAGACCTGCAATAACCTACGCATGTGCGGCTTGGTGCTTTTTAGCTGTCACATATGCGTAAACTACAAGTTCTGCAGAGTAGAACTCTCAGAACAATGACTAATGCCACATGGTATGTATCAAATGATACCATCCATAGAGATCTTGACATCCCCTACCTTAGGGATTACGTCATAGGTATGGCACAATGGCGCAACCAGCAACCGAAATCGCACAGCAGCCTGTTGTTGCGTGAAGCAATGGATTACACAGCCGAGGAGATACGCAAACACTCGCGAGTCGTACTGTGAACAAAATTAAATTCATGTTTAGACCTTCAAAAAGTATAGCTTTTAAAAACCAATCACCCAAAATTCAGTTCAGCGCAAGTCAAAAATTTATATAGTACAATGTAACAGTCCTTAGATCTATCACACCTCAAATATTTACATGAAGCAATTTGTTTTTCTCTTCTCTCTCCTACTTCCTTCCGTTCTTTCTCCCTCTCCACTTTCCCCTACAACTTGTCTGGTTTCTGGGCCACCGGACCTGACAGACTGACGACAGACACTGACATTACAGTGACTATGATCTAAAGCCTAACGTCCTTGAAAAGCAACGACAAGTAGTAGTACGTTTAAAATTTTGACAGGTTGTGATACTGTCATCTGCTGTTTACAGCGTTTTCGCATGTATGCGAAAAATATATTTTTAAAGTAAGGCTTTGTGGTCTTTTTAATCTTAAAAAGATATAGTATTAATTTTGTTGATCTAATATAACAAATATTAACCATTTGAGACTTATTTGAAAAAAGTGTCAAGTAAATTATTATGGCACATGATCATGCTTTCTTCACTCTTATCCAACCACTACTATTGACCGCAATGCCATATTGAGATCGAGAAGTAGCTTTTCTATTCCTAGGCAAATAATTACAACAAAAAATCCTTAGGCAGATGATCAGTCATTTAAAATTTTACAAGTGACAACTAACATTTGGTATAGCTCGTGATGAGCAGCTAATTTATTGAGGAAACAGGGCCAATAAACGTTAGAGCCTTACTCCCCTGAAACTGAAATGGACCAGTCCGCAGGCCAATTCTGCTACTTATTACATTATCTGACACCTGGCAACTAGATGTTCCAAAGTATTTGTAAGTCTGAGTATGAACCGTTATGACATACATACAATGAAGGTTTAGATTTTAATAAGAGCAAAGTTGCGTATTTAGGTAGCTAACAAAATGCCCCTTAGGAAGTTTTCCAAAATCGGTTCAGTTTTTTTCTGACTTTAGTTGTACTGAGAGTTACAAATAAATTGCAGAAAAAATGACAATGTTAATTGTGACAGTGTTGATTATCACTTTTTCGCCCCTACAAGATGGCATAATTAGAATATCAATATGACTTTTAGTCTATTGTCATCCAGCATCAACTTTATTTTTTCTCATGGACGCCATATTAGACTTTCAAATATATAAAAAGTGTTCTTAATTCAGATTCCGATAATGTATAACATATCAAACGTTTTCATTGCAAAACCTTAGTTATTTAAAAAAAAAACAGAACTATCAGATTGTCATTTGTTTCGTATACCAAATCTATCACGAAATCATTATTATTTTTTTCTGACTTTTTTTTGAGATGGGATTAAGAAATAAATTGCATGTTGTCATTGCCGTTTTTTCGCCTCTGCAAGATAGCGTATTCAAATTTTCAATTCGAGGTTTCTTCCTTCGACTTCCATTACCAACTTTGTTTTTTCACATGTAGGTTATATTGTAATTTTGTGCATTTGCGCGTCTGGATTTGGAATATGCAGGTTTTGGTACCCACTAGGAAGAGTCATAGAATATACTTCAGATTCATATTCAAGGGACAGCTCTTCCAATACAATGCTGTACCGCTTAAGGTAAATTATGCCCCTCATGTGTTCACAAAGTTAATAAAACCATTTCTGGCATAGCTTAAGGAGATATAAATGTTTCTGTCTGTATTTTCTTCTGTTCGATTATACTCATGGAGATTGCCTGAATAATATTCGGGCAACAGTTACCACCCCTATTATATATATATATATATATATATAAAGAGAATATGATCATAATACTTGTTGTTATATATATATATATATATATATATATGTATATCCAAGTTGTGGGAGTCAAACGTCAAATGTGAAACTCTCGGAAGAATGTATTACTTTCGGCATATTGCGAAACAATGGATATATTCTAAGCTTCCTTCAAATCGGACACTAAACTAATCATCAAAATCTCAAGTTCCACTTAACGAGTTAACAGAAAATTCCGGTGATTGATTTCGAATTTTAGCTCTCCTTTTCCTGTTCTTTGAAATTTCACCCCCTCCGGTAACACAGTTATCGGTTGCCCACGAGTCACATCATGAGGAGGAAGTTTGATTCGTGTCTTTGTTTAATTTAGACACCTAATCTGGTTATTTCGAGAAGGAAGGAAAATTGAATTCAAATCGAGCACGACGGTCTCCACAGAAGGGTGGCTCATTTTAAATTCAAATCTTTTGGATAGGAAAACGTCTTCTCGTAGGGTTGATAATTAACTTGGGATAATAGGGCTTACCAAATCTGTGTTGGAAATGAGCAGTGACAAAACCACACCAAGAATATTGTTTACATCGGCTTGTTTTCGGTATTACATTCTGATAGATAGGTCGACAGACCGACGCAGATGATTGAAGTTCCCGGGTATCACAATGAGATAAACGCATAACAAAATTTCTATGTCAAGTTGTTGCGAAACGGTGCTAAATTTGAAGTCAGCAAAAC